GTACGAACGTTTGTTTTAGAGGTGGAGGATGTGATGACCCAAAATGACATATTTAATTTAAACATTCATTTATGTGTTCTATGAAAATGTTGAGAGCTTACCTGTTATGAGTTACATATCACTTGAATAGTTGATGTTAATGGCGTTCCTTTTCTAGTAATATATTGCTTTTGAGGCCACTGTTAGTATTGTTTTCATGTTGTGTTACGTTGATTGGATTATGTATGTGTTGTTAGGATTGGTTTCTAGGATTCTTTGGCAGGTGGATAGGCCCAGTTACAAAGGAAACTCTGGCGAAATATTTGGAAATTTTGGGATTTAGTAAAAATTCGGAAAATTGAAATGGGTGAAAGAAGAGATAAGTTATGTTATGTGTTTTGGGGCGTACTCTACTTCTCATTTTAGGACTATTAATATGATGTATATCAATCGGATATGATAATAAGTGTACGAGGCATATTATAAGTGATGTGGGGTCAAAGGAGAGGCCTAAGTCTAAGCCAAGTTGGAAACTTTCATANTATATATATAAGGAATTATGTGATGATCAACCTTTCTAATGAAAGTTCTTCGCGTCTAGTTTCTACCGCTTCAAACTGTTCGTCATTTGGTCACTCCTACAAGAAGTTATGACCAAATTACCAAAAGCTGGAAGAATGTGATTCTACGGTCAGATGTGCGACCACAGAATCATTATGCGAATCGCAAAATCGATTGTGCGACCGCAAAATGGTCGTAGACCTGACCAATGTAGCCCAGTTCCGGGCATCAGTTTTGCGGTCCATTGTGCAACCCGCATACCCATTGTATGGTCCATTATGCGACTGCATACCTGAGTTCGGAGGGTCCATTTTTCTATTTTCATAACCCGGCCACATTTTGATAAATAGTCTTTGGGGCTTATTTTTGGGCAATTATATGATGATTTTAGATAGAAGTGACAGTGTTCTAGAGAGAGAGGAAGTGGATGAAGTGCTTTGTTCATCAAAAATCTTGTTCAAGCTTTGAAATCCAACAAGGAAATATCACAATATCTCCGCCCAAGAGGTAAGGTTCTTACCCCTAGTCTTCAATTTCGAGTTTGGGTAAAGATGGGTGATTGGGAGTATGATTCTTGGATGTGAGAGTATTAGTTATACATGTTTGTACCAATAAGGTTGTGGGGAAATTGTTGAGTTCAAATGGGTAAATATTGGATTGAAAATGGTATAAATCTTCAAAGAGTTTAATTGAGGATTTGAATAGCAATCCGATGTCGGAATTCGATAAATTTTGTATGGTTGAACTCGTATCGGAGCGGGTGTTCGAATTTCGTGGGTTTTTCTTGGATTCGAGACGTGGGTCCCATTGCCTCTTTTTAAATAAATTTTGGATTTTAATCCGGAAAATTAGTAATTTCATATGACATTAATTTCTACGATTTGTGTTCTGTATATTGAATTATTTGTGACTAGATTTGAAGATTTCAGATACTAATTCGCGAGGCAAAGGTTTGTTAGAATCTTGAATTTGGATTTTGATTCTGTTGATCCGGTGATCCAATTTGCATCACTATATCCCTCAATAACTGTGGGATAATTATTGTAATGCAATGCATAGTCTTGGGTATATTTTAAGTACCCCAAAACTCATTTCATTGCTATCCAATGAGCTTGGTCGGGATTACTTGTATATCGACTAAACTTACTTATCGCACAAGCTATATCAGGTCTTGTACAATTCATAATGTACATCAAACTTTCCAACACTCGAGCATATTCCAATTGAGACTTGCTTTGACCTTTATTCTTTACAAGATTATGGTTTAAATCAATTGGCATTCTTACAACTTTAAAGTCCAAATATTTGAACTTTTCAAGTACCATTTTAATATAATGAGATTGAGACAAAGCTAGACCTTGAGGAGTCTTAAGGATCTCAATTTCCAAAATTAAATCAGCAACTCCTAAGTCATCTACGCCTCTATCACTCTCCATTTCCTAAGTCTTTCATATCAAACTTACTAGTAAGCATGCGTTTAGTAGCATTTTATGTTAGCAATATCGTTACTCATTATCAATATATCATCCACATATAAAGAAATAATGACTATTTGATTTGGAGTATTCTTAACGTTAACACATTTGTCGCTCTCATTGATCTTGAAATAATTTGACAACATTGTTTGGTCAAATTTCGCATGCCATTATTTTGGTGCTTGTTTTAGTCCGTATAGTGACTTAACAAGTCGACACACCTTTTTTTCTTTTCCGGGAAATACAAACCCTTCAGGTTGTTCCATATAAATTTCTTCCTCTAAATTTTCATTTCAGAAGGATGTATTCACATCCATCTGATGGATTTGAAGTCCATACACGGTGACTAATGCTATTAACACCCGGATAGATGTAATACTTATTACCGGCGAATATGTGTCAAAGTAATCAAGACCTTCTCATTGTCTAAACCCTTTAACAACTAATCCTGCCTTATATTTGTCAATAGTACCATCAACATTCATTTTCCTTTTGAAAATCCACTTAGAACCCAAAGGTTTATTTCTTGGAGGAAGATCAACTAATTCCCAAGTATGATTACTTAATATGGATTCTATCTCACTATTGGCTGCCTCTTTCCAATATTGTCCTTCCGAGAAATACATTGCTTCTTTGAACGTTTGAGGCTCATTTTCCAACAAGAATGCTAGAAAATCTGGTCCAAAGGAAGTAGTTTTCCTTTGACGTTTACTACGTCTTGAAATTTCCTCACTAAAAGTACTTTCCTTTGCTTCTTCCCGAGGACGCTTAGAGTTTTCACTATACAACTCACATTCCTTGTTATACGGATAAATATTCTCAAAGAATTCAGCATTATCTGATTCAATTACCGTATTAATATGAATGTCGGGATTTTCTGATTTATGAACCATAAAACGATATGCCTTACTATTTGTTGCATATCCTATGAAAATGCAATCAACGATGTTTATATATTCAATTAGTATCTCGGTAAAGTTTTTACATATTCAAACCGAATACAAACAACCGAGTAGAAAATCACAAGGATTTTAATCTCTGATTGAGTAGAAAGTCACAAAGACTTTAATCTCAAACTGGAGTAGAAAATCCGAATATTTTAATGTCCAAAACGGGAGTAGAAAATCGCTAGGATTTGAATCTCCCAAATAAGAAAGTAAGATGAAAATCGAAATAAATATTAAATTCCTTAAGCTTGTTAGAAGTCTATATTCAAAATCAAAAAATCAGAAAACGTTAGTTTAAGAAAATAAAAACAGAAAATTCTGAACGCACAAGTTTCTTGTATGTCCATAAGGAATTTAATCCCCTCACAGTTACCTAAGGTTTTGGATTAATTCCTCCCGGAATAAAACGGAATAACTATTCTGTGATAGCGGTACTTCAAATCACAGAACTTTGGCGAACTCAAATGGTGGAACAAATCACACAAAATGCTTACGTTTTTGCTTTGGAAAAACAATGCAGAATGCAGAATTCAGATTCGGTGGTGAAAATGGGGCTGAGCCTCTCTATATATAGCCAACAACGTTGAGTCCCAACAGGTGCGAAGGTGCCTGTTCGTATTAAGAGGTATCCATTCGACATAAATTATTTGAATTTCTGTTAAACGGAATGGCTGGTCGCGAATTTGCCCGTTGGAAAATAATGCGGCAAAATTAATACTTTTCCTTTAAAAAAATTAGGAAAAGAAATATTAAATGACGGAAATGGAAAATAAATTTGGTCCAAAAAATTATCAATCAATCATATCATTTGACCGAATCCGAATTCAAATCCGAATCCGAGCCAAGCAATGCTACAACGGCACAAGGCTTGCCGTCGTAGAAGAAGTGCTTCTATATATAAGCACGAGAATTTTTCTCTTCCTATCCAATGAGGGACAAAGTTCCTTTGTAAGACAAACTAATTCAAAATTCCATTTCCCTCTATTTCTTTTCCTATCATTTTCCATTCATACCTTTTTTTGTTTTAATTAATAAATCCCAACATGAATCAAGGGGCTTAAGAATTCCAAAGCTAATTGATAATTTTTGTATTACAGCAGATTCAAGCTACATTAACTTCAAAATGAAAGGAAATACAATTAAATCATGAATGTGACGACCGAATCCATCTCATCCGCTGCGTTAATTTCTCCTCCTCTCTGAATTAGTCCGTATATTTTTTATGTGACATTTATTTTATATTTAAAAATAATTTAAATTTAAAAAATTATTTTATTCTAAATAACATGATATTATGGCTACATAAATATCATGAGAGATTTAAGACCTCAACTTTTTTTTTAATTCAGTGTCCAGTAAAATTAAACACCTTTACATAAAATGAAACGAGGGAGTAATACATTAACGAGAGGAATAGAACACTATGATGATATGCGACCTTTCGAGGCAGTAAACAAGCTTCTTGGGTGAGAAACTGAGAATATTTTGATCACTTGAGGATAAATATGACACAGTACTACATTCTCTTTTTCGATCAAGTGATCTACTTTATTCAAAAGCAATTCGAACCAATTAGCCACATATCGACTATACTAGAAGAAGTTTCCACGTACCTCCTCCTCCTCCTTTTTAAGTACGGATAGTAATGTGGACTTGATTTCAACAGCAAATCGATGAGTATATATTCTGAAAAAGATTTCAGTTTTTTTCTCAAATCAAAAGTAAGATTCCAAAATCTTTGGTTGTATTGAAAAATATCACTCTAGCTAGTGACAAATGTTCTTGGAATATTTCAAAAATGCTGGATAAAATAGGTAAAAGGGAAAGTTTGAGTGTGCTATGATGCTTTAGAATCCAGGTAGATAAAGCATAATTTCCCTTATCATACAAGTGATCAAGAAAAATCTAGATATATTCACCAACTTGTAATTCTTCTAGTAATTTCTCCCTTTTTTGTCTTCTAACTAACATAATACTCTAATGCATGCCTCTATATATAGCTTCATTATAGGTTCAAGTTTCTCACAACAAATCAAGACTGAAATTCACTTCACAAACCTTCACTATTTGTAGCCTTCACAACTTGTTTAATTTCCTCTTCACCAAAAGCAATATATATCTTGGCATTTTGCCAAACACATTATTTCTTGAACATATAAACAATATGGATATGGTGATGAAGTTGGGAGCAACAAGCCCTGTGGTGATATTCAGCAAGAGTAGTTGTTGCATTTCTCATAGTATCGAAACCCTAATCCGTAGTTTTGGAGCAAACCCTACAGTTTACGAGCTCGATAGACATTCAAACGGGAAGCAAATAGAGAAGGCACTAACTGAACTAGGGTGTCAGCCAAGTGTGCCTGCAGTTTTTATAGGGAATGAGTTTATTGGTGGTTCTAATGAAATCATGAGTCTTAATGTAAGAGGAAAGCTCAAGCACTTGCTCATAAGGGCTAATGCCATTTGGGTATAGAAATAGCAACCCTACGAGTTTTTTTAGTAAACCAACCACTTAATTATTGAGAGTCTTTTAGCTTCTTCGGATGGTTGTTTTTTCTCTCATTTTTCTTCTTGATGTTTTAATAAAATTGTAATTTTGGTTATAGTCATTTCTTTTGGCAATCTTGTGGCGGTTTTGTTTGTTCACGCAGCTGATGATCATATGAAAATAGAAGTTAATAACAATGAGAATCTTTATGTATTGCATTTTATTAACCAAGGTATTAATAATAATCTTATACTACATTGTACATGCATTAAGTTTTATATATAATTTTGACATTTTACGTAGATTTTGTTTATATATATTTAACAATCAAAACATAGTTATGCTGAATCTTGAAACGCCTTTGAGGAGAGTAGTGCGGCCAAATATCATCCCAGAAGCGAATCAGCTTACCATTGCCTAACCAAAGTCTAGCCCAAGTTCTGCGTGAAGGTCTCTCCGTAAAAAAAATATTGTTACCTTTTTCGATGCAGGATTTTTTAGAGGTAAAACACTCACTCGAATGCCTTTCTTTTAAACAAACAGCGGAACTTATTCTAATGGGAGACCACATGGCACATATTGCAACTATTTCTATCTAAAGAAGCTTTCAGGTAAAACATTTATACGAATGTAAATCTTCCACCCATCAATCGGAATATCCGTCTTTTCCTCTTTTTTGCCAGTGCCATATTGCAGAATGCATATTATTGGAGAATAGCGAATGTGCGAGCCAGATGCAAGAACTCGAACTTGTTCACGAATAATTAATGTTAATCTTCTGTGTATCATTCTAATTTTATCGGATATCCGGAAAAGGACTACTTTTTCCATTTAAAGTGAGACATATAAAGAATGTAAATAACAGCTTTCCTGCTTTTGTTGTAGAGTTTGTGGACTATTACAACTGAGTTTTAAATTTAAAAATAACAACTAATGTGTTGGCCCAAGTAAAGGATCGTTTTGAAGATTGACAAAGGAACTCAGGGATGAATCAGGTCCATCACTGGTAGGCATAAACACGGGCAGATTCAAAACACGTGAGATGCACATGCAGGAGATAAACGAAATCTGGCATAATAATAGATATCTCCTGATCGAAAAGATTGCATAATTGATAAGGAGAAGGTCTCCTTACTCAACGGGAACATTAACCAAGATAAGGGAGGAATTATATTAGAAGTTGTGATCAACTAGAACTCTTCCACCTGTGGGTGTTCGAACATTAACCAATTGCATAATTGGGTGTTCGAAGTGCTGTGAGGGGAAATGGTAAAAGAGTGGTTGATTCTTCACCTACTCCTGTGAGTTTAACCAAAGACACAGGTGAAATGGTTGTTTGGGGAGAAAACATCTGCTGGAGTAGAGGAGAGTGTAAAGAAAATATGGGGAAGTGGGTCTGGCGAAGCCGCTGAAGGGCTGGTTCAACTTGAAAAAAATATAGATGAACCTGTTTCATCTGAACATGAAACCCTCGCAGACCTACTGAAGAGAGTGACTGAAAGTTATAATCCAAAGAAGAAAGAGAGGTTGGAACAAGCAAGGATCATTTTGGAGAAAATACGTTATCTGCTTGTGACTTTGAAGTCCATGTCACTCCTAAAGAACCTGGTTCATCTAAGAAGGTACCAGTGAATAGCAAGGTGCGAGCCTTGGTGCAAGAAAGTGGGGCTAAGGATGCTGAGATTGAGAGGCTGACGAAAAGGTTGGCTAAGGTGGAGACTGAGAGAGATGCTCTCAAAACTGAGCTGGCAAGAGAAAAGGAGAAGAATGATGGCATTCCTCAAGATATGTTAAAACTTCTCCAAGCAAAAAAAAACTAAGCACCTAGTTCTTCCAAGCCTTAAGCCTCCTAGCCTAGTGTAGATCAACTAGTGACCCAGTTCGGGATTGTTTTGTTTCTTTTACTCATGTTTCCAGTATGTTTATTTCCTAGTATGCTTTGTGGAATAATCGTATCAATCATCAATGGAATTCACTGTTTTTGCTCTAACTATTTGTTTATATTTCTTTGATGGTTAAAATACTTAGCTTGATCTATGATGATTAATCCATGATTGCATTTGAAGTAGCCCCAGTGGCCATGAGTAAGTTTTAAAATTTTGTTATCTCACATTTTTTATGCAACTTTTCGATGATGCCAAAAGGGGAAAAAGGTTGAGCTTTACACAATTTGAACAATGATGTTTATAACCTAATGAACTCGGTCCTTGATGATAAGTGATAAAAAGGAAAAATATTTCTAACATTATATTGATGTTGAGCTAAGTTGGAACAGGTCCTAAGCTTATGGAAGCATAGAGTTTGTCATCATCAAAAAAGAAAAATTTGTAGGCCCAAGTAAAGGATAGTTTTGAAGATTGACAAAAGAACTCAGGGATGAACCAGGTCCATCACTGGTAGGCATAGACACGGGCAGATTCAAAGAACGTGAGATGCACATGCAGGAGATAAATGAAATCTGGCATAATAATAGATATCTCCTGATCGAAAAGATTGCATAATTGATAAGGAGAATGTCTCCTTACTCAACGAGAACATTATCCAAGATAAGGGAGGAGTTAGAGGTTGAGATCAACTAGAACTCTTCCACCAAGGAAGAGTAGCATTAGAACTCTAGTTATTTTCTACTCTACTAACTCTATAAATTGCACGATATTCTCATTCTACAGGTGACGCACAAAAGCAGAAGTTAAACGTGAATTGAGAGCAAAATAGCAAGGCATTTTGCAAGCAGTTCATGTGTGATTCAAGTGTGCGAACCTGAAGCTACATGAACCAGATAGAAGAACCAGCACCAAGTGTTTGTCTTTTATTCTAGTTCAATTGTAGTAGGTATTTTCATATTGTACCTTTCAACTTTATCTAGAGGCAATTGTAATAGGTACTCAAAGTCTTCAAAAGTGGCTGGTTGCCACAACGGGATTAGAGATAATCCTAGGTTTACAAAAGTATTTTGTAAATACAGTTTTTGGCTCAGTGATTTAGTGGAGAGTTTGGGAAAATCCTACTGGGAAGTAGGTCATGGTTTTTTCACCTTTTGAGCCAGGTGTTTTTCACGTAAAAATCTCCGTGTTCTTTATTTTCTGTACTTATTATTCCGTAACAGTAGTAGTTGGAACACATTGAAGAACCAGGTCCTTTTATAATCCGTGCACGCGAAAAATTGGACACCACACAAATCACCCCCCTCTTGTGTGGTATTGACGTATAAAACATCAATTGGTATCAAAGCACGTTATCCTTGAAAAGTCTAACACCTTAGGAGAAGATCAAGATGAGTGCACCACCTGAAAATTGGGAAGAGCAATCCACTGCTAGGCCACCACTCTTTAATGGCCAGTACTCCTCCTGGTGGAAGAACAGAATGAGAGACCACATAATTGGAGAAGACTACAAGCTATGGGACATGAACTCAACCAATTTGAAAGAAATCAAGTTTGGCATCTGGTACCATGACCCTTGGATATATTAGTAATTGGCACTAAGTGGGTCTTCAGAAACAAACTTGATGAAGATGGAACCGTTACAAGAAACAAAGCAAGATTGGTGGTTCAAGGATATAGTCAGGAGGAAGGCATAGACTATGATGAGACTTTTGCCCCAGTGGCAAGGCTGGAAGCTATAAGGCGCCTCTTAGCCTTTGCTGCCTACATGGAATTCACCCTTCACTAGATGGATGTCAAGAGTGCCTTCCTAAATGGCTATTTGAAGGAAGAAGTGTTTGTCAAGCAACCTCCAGGGTTTGAGAACAAGGAAAATCGTGATCAGGTGTACAAAACTAACAAAGCACTTTATGGGCTCAAGCAAGCGCCAAGAGCATGGTATGAAAGATTATCAAAGTTTTTGCTTGAACATGACTACAAGAGAGGTAAAATTGATAATACTTTGTTCTTGAAAGAAAAAGGTAAAGATCGCTTGGTAGTTCAAATATATGTTGATGATATAATCTTTAGAGCAATTAATGATAAGTTAAGTAAAGAATTTGCTAAACTAATAGGGAGTGAATTTGAAATGAGCATGATGGGAGAGCTTAATTTCTTTTTAGGCATACAAATTAAACAAAATTCAAATGGAACTATGATCCATCAGCAGAAGTATGTAAAAGAGTTGCTTAAAAGTTTTAGAATGGAAGATTCCAAAGAAATTGACACTCCTATTGCAATAGCTACAAAGTTCGATATAAATGAACCTGGTTCATCTATTGATCAGAAGTTGTATAGGAGAATGATTGGATCACTGCTGTGTCTCACTGCTAGTAGACCTGACATTGTTTTCAGTGTAGGCCTTTGTACAAGATTTCAGGCAAACCCAAAGGAATCTTATTTGACTGTTGCCAAGAGAATTTTGATATATCTAAAAGGTACCACTGATCTGTCTTTGGTATCCAAAAGGTAGTAATTTCAATCTTGTGGGATATGCTGATGCTGATTATACATGTTTTCTTGTGGATAGAAAGAGAACCTCAGGTATGACACACTTTCTTGGCTCATGTCTTGTGTCTTGGGCCACCAAAAGGCAAAATTCAGTGGCCTTATCTATTGCTGAAGCTGAGCAGGTTGTTGTTGCTTCATGTTGTGCTCAATTGTTATGGATCAAATAATAATTAATGGACTTTGGAATTGATGTTGGTTGTATCCCCATTTTTTGTGATAACACTAGTGCAATTAGTATGATCAAGAACCCTGTTCATCACAAGAAAACTAAGCACATAGATGTTAGGCATCACTTGTTGAGGGATAACTATGAAAAAAGGTTGATCACTGTGGAATTTTGTGCTACTAACAAGCAAATAACTGACATCTTCACAAAAGCCCTAAGTAGAGATAACTTTGAAAGGAACAAGTTAGAATTAGGGATGATTAAGATCGCCTAAAAGGATCAGTTGAGATATCAAAACGAAAACAAAATTGAAAAATATTGAGAAAAAAACAATTATTGGTTTTGGTTTGAAAATCTGAAAATGTGTATATTTTCTACACTCCGCATCAAGATTTGGATCATCAAGATAACACGGTATATTTTTTACACTCTGCATAATTTGAAATAATAATATTTGGATCATGAGCAGAGTCCTACTTAATTCCAAACTCCTTTTGGACTTATCCGTTACAAGTGAACCAG